ATACCATTTGTAACACCCCGGCCCCGTAGGCCCTGAGGTAGTTACTTCTGATCTCTAGTACTGTCCTCACAAACCGCCACTAGCCTTTTCCGCGCACTTTGTCCTCACTCGTGCGTGCCCTGAGAAACTTCGCAGGGGGTCACCCATCCCAAGACTACTCCCGTGCAAGCACGCTTAACTTTGGAGTTCTTGGCTAATGAGCTCCCAAAGGAGATGCACCTTGTTGGTATGAGTAGTACTATTAATCCATTTTAATTAAATCTCAAGTGTTACATTACCTCATGGGCCTCGATTTGGTTCTCATTAGACACAAAGGTGGAACCTGCCTGTACTCCTAGGGAAACTTCCGTTGATGCCATGACGACAGGTCTTTGGTGCAGTCTTTGCCACAAAGACTGATGACACAAAGGTGGAACCTGCCTGTACTCTTAGGGAACCTGCCTAACAACTTTAAATCTCCTTACCATAACATGTCGGAGCCGGAATAAATATTTAACTAGTCTGAAACTGCGCACATGAGCAGTCCCACAGGTAGTCCCAAAACAGTGTTATAGATGGTGACAAAGGTATCATACTGCTCGTCTCAAATGGGCGACCTCCAATCTAAGATCGGAATTGCAATCGATCGTCAATGTTTAGAAAAACTTGAGAAACCTCCCGTAAATGAACAATGCACTTCTCTAACGGCTAGTTCATAGCTCCGACGAAATAGTGTCTCCGGCCTCCAGGAAAGGATGGGAAGGTGCACCTAGTGACGAAGACCCCCCAACCCAATCTCCAAATCCATAAACTATTGTCAAATTTTGAATAATGATCCAAAATCAATTCTCATATGAACATTGTTTTCTGCGATTTTTGGTGAGGATTTTTAGGCTATAATCGGTCTGAAAATCACCTAAATCACAAGCCCAAGCTTGAATAATGTATCTAGGATGAATTCCTAGCAAGAATAACCAAGAAAAACTAAGATCAATTATGGGAAATAGCGTGCAAAGGGTCAAGCAACCTAGTGGATGAAAATGGTTTTTCAAAAGGTCGTGAGAGAAGCTCTCAATTTGACCAAGACTGACCGAGAGTTCTTTATGTTCTCATTGATTGTTGTCACATCTTGAGATGTTCCGATAAACCTAATCCTTAATCGCCCGCTAAAATGGCCTGATTGTCAGGAAAATCACGTCGATGTAGCGAATGCTACTCCCAGTGTAAAAGTGACAACCCCTATGCCAGGTGTGTCTGCTCGGCCACATTCCCGTCTATATTGGTTCTTATACTGGCCCAGGGTTGAACCCTTTCAGGTTCGGGCTCACGCTAGCATATACTATAACAAATGTCAACTTGTGTAGCTTTGCATTCCAGACATATGTTAGTTGGTCTCATTAGAGATTTATAGGATTTACCTTATGTATAAGTCAATGTCAAGTGTTATATCCTTATCAGACCCTTAGCCTCGGTCGACGAAAATGTTATTGGAGTTCTTGGGTCAACATCCCAATATCTTTAATTAAATTAAAACCATCCTTTCACACTTGTGTTGCAAGGGATATCAAACTATTTGCATAGTCACTCAAAACTATTGGTATGAGCTAATTTATCATATAATATTGACCCCCCAAGATTCCTACTCCCGTCGAAAAAATTAACATAACACTGTGTAGAAAATGACATAGTATCAAATTAGGCAAACTTCTCCTATGAAGTGCATATCCTAATGCTTCTTCATCATTGGTAAGCCTTCAATAGCCATCTTCTAGTCTTTTAGTTTACTTGTGCTCCAATGATTTTTAATTTCCTCTCCTTTTTCTATAATCTTAGCTACACCCTCACCTGTGATATTAGTTTGCGGAGATACAACTCTTCTTAGCACCAAATAAACATCATCACCTGCAACATTCTCATTCTTGTTTACATTTGCTAAGAATGAATAAAAAATTAGAGGAATTTTTACAAAATCTGCAGCTACTAGAATGAAACTAAAATGGAAGGGTTTTTCTAGAGAAGTGTTTGAGTTTTGTTTATTATTACTTCCCACTTGTATATCAGAAACCTATTTCAGTAATCAATGAAAAGATATAATTTGACAGATCACCATAGAATAAGGTCATCACACTGGTCGCAATCAAAATAACTCACATCAAACATGTAAATTTAAATAATACATTAGTAAACTATTTTTCCTATTATATGTCATGCTAAATGATAGAGTAAACCTAGAGAGAAGTGAGAGCTAGAGAGAGAAATAGTATAATTGCTCTGTAATAATGAATTCTCAGAACCCCCATAACTACTCCCAAAGGGAGTATTTATATGAAAAATTAGGGCTGGGCTCCCAAGTCTTGGGCTTGGGAGGCTCATTTACAACTGGACCGCTATTGGGCCGAATACAAAGTAAATGATAGAGTATACAAATGATTAAGTACAGAATCCTGTTCTGGGAGTCCTTCATGGCCGACGAGGGACATGGTCGACGAGGACATGGCTGACGAAGACCCGGCCAATGAGGTCACCCGGTTCTTCTGGCTTCCGGATCATATTCTGGGTTTGACTTCTTTCCAGCCGATGAGGGTCATCTGGCCGACGAGGGTCCCACTAGGTGACAGTTGTGTCTTCTGTCCTCTTGAGTATGTGGGTCCTGGGGTCCAGACCCATATACTCCATCACTAAATTATTAGCGATTATAACCCATACAAAAGTTGTACTTTATAAATCTTATACCTCCGTTCCAATAACATTGGAACATGAGGAAGTGGTGCGGTTATTAAAAAAAGTACATTTATGTGGTTGATATTGAAGTGAAAAGTAGAAATAGAGTAAGCATGATTTAGAATCAAACACATTTTACCAAATCTTGTATGAGACAATCTCAATTGGACAGACCGAAAAAAAAATGAGACAATCTTAACGGCACAAAGTGAGTATCTTATTAGCTTTGTAGTTTTCTTTAAATGGTACACAATATTTTCTATAATTTGTGAATGTTCAACTCACAATAGACCCATTGGCCATTGCATATAGTTATAGGTTCAACTAGATATCCATTCTACTAACTAAAACATTATAAAACCCAATAAAATTATCGGATAACGTAGCTAAGATAAATTTCATTTACATTCTATGTCCTTAGTGAAGGATAATCTGGGATAAATCAAGTGGATTGTGATACTCTTATCTCCTAAAAATATTTATTCTAATTGTTGTTATAAAGTCATCTCAAGTACTACTTTCATTCCTAAATTAACTTACCTTTGACACGAGAATTAAGATAGTGAGTATCGTATGATGAAGAGTTGTGTAAAAGATAGACAAATGTATGTGTATAGTAAGAATGTGTAAGAATGACTATGAATCACAAATTGTTTACGAGAAAGAGAAAGTGAAATTTTGTTTTGGACGTCTCAAAAGAAAAGTTGGAAGTTTAACCAGGGACAGAGGAAGTACTTTTTAATAGTTTTGCTGGAGGAATAAATAAAACTTTCCCATAAGATCACATGCTAATCGAAGAGAAAAATGCATTCTACAACTAAAATGAAATATATAATCATGAGGCATTTTGAAGATTTGATGGAACACAAATATAAAACACTGATCTTTATCAAGCATTATGCTAAGCGGAGGGAAAAATGTTTTTGTAACTAAAGTGATAAACCAAAAATGAAACGTACTTCAAATAACCAAGTACTCCCTCCGTCCCATATAGAGGTTCCCGGTTCAGTTTATGATGCTTGACTGACGGTAAAGTAACTTGATCCAAGTTCACACTTCGATTATTTTTGAAAAACTAAATTTACATATTCAGAAACTACATTAAAGTCGCTACAAAGGCTGATAAAAAAATGTAAATTTCATAAAAAATTGATATATAAAGCAAAAGATTAAGAATGATTTAAGTTGATCATGTGAATAGTGGACGAGAACCTTTAAATGGGACGGAGGGAGTATCTGTTTTCATCTCATGTTCTTTTTCATTAGTTTTGCTGGAGGAATATATAAATACCTTCCCATCTGATCATATGGATACTCACGAAAGACATCCCCACTTCACACGCCCGTGGAATTGAATGATTTTTTCGTCATTTGCAATGAAGCTAAATATTCACTATTTTTTACTTGGAGTATGATGAAATAAATCAAAATGACTCACTTATCTGTCTGCGCTTCTTTGCTATAAAGCAGCAGTCCATCCATGTAGTTTTCAATACGATTTTCACCATGGGTCGTCCGAAAACGTACAATTTCATTGCTTTAGTATAGGGGCTAAGACTTCGTACATCTGACTTCCCCTTACCCCACCGTGGGTGAGAGCCTTTGCGACACTGAGGTGATGATGATGAAGACGACCATTTAAGGTGATTGCGGATTATTTATAAAAAACTTTTGTGTTTTACAATTGAGATATTAATTAATTAATACTTACAAGAACTCCAAATACTAGGTAGGGTTGCTTTTAAAAGGAAATAGATTAATGTTTAGAATCCATCTTGAAAAGAAATATCTAGAAGGATAATGATGTAAAATTGAACTAAAAATATAATTAAAATAGGAACGAAGTAATACATAGTAATAATCTGTTGCCATTTTTTTGTAGAATAGGGAAGTAACTAGAAACAACAAACAAGTAAAATAGAAAAAAAACATGGGGTGCCAAAAGAAGTTGGGTGGTTTGATGAAATTTTTTGATGAAATATTTTGAACATTTTTTTCATTAAGTCTAGTTTACCCATACCAAATTTCAGATAATTCAATCAGGAAGACATTCAAATGATTTTCTGAAATGTATTGTGCTGTTTAACCAGACAGTTATCTTCAAAAATTCATTCGGCTGCCTTCTTGATTGAATTTTTAGCCGAAATTTGATATGAATAAACTAGACTTAATGAAGACGGTCGGACAGAGCCTCCTATATAAATGGTGATTTGCACTTTTTAAGTTGATTCAAGAGTCAATTTGACCATTTTCCCAAAGAAGTTGGATCTCTTTTGCAATTATAATGAAACGTGGGGTGTGTTTTATAATCGCTTAAAATTCATCTACGAACGCGTGGAGACACCGCCTTGGGAATTTTGCAATCTCAAAGCCCCGACCGAGTCTATCGAGAAGAAAAGAATACCGGCCTCCTCTTCCTCCCACATTTCTCAGACATTTTCAGCTTTACCGATTACACCGATGGCGTTGGAGTGGGTCGTGCTGGGCTACGCCGCTGGAGCGGAGGCGATCATGCTGCTTCTGCTAACCCTCCCGGGGCTGGACGCGCTGCGCAATGGCCTTATCGCTGTCACCCGAAATCTACTCAAGCCCTTCTTGTCAATCGTCCCGTTTTGCCTCTTCCTGTTGCTTGACATATACTGGAAGTACGAGACCCGCCCCCATTGTGAATCTGATTCCTGCTCCCCGTCGGAGCACCTCCGCCACCAGAAATCCATAATAAAGTCCCAGCGCAACGCTCTCCTCATTGCCTCTGCCCTAATTTTCTATTGGCTCCTCTATTCTGTCACCAGACTCGTGGTCCGCATTGATCAGCTCAACAAAGGCATCCAGAAGTTGAAGAACCAAGACTGATCGATAGATTTGATGGTGCGATGGGTCAGTTTCACTCCTTTCAGATCAGATCGGCTTACTTCATCGTTCATATTTGCTATACGGAATATTTATCTGTCTTAGTTTAATTTCTTATGTTTTTCCTTGTGTAATCACGTGTCACCTGTTTTGTCACTTACGATGATGCTACTTTGTTGCTCCCTAAATCTAACGACTACAGAGGATAGTTTTCTATGTTAATTTGTTGTTTCTGGTCTTTGCATTTGGAGAAAATCCTCAGTATATGAGTGAAATATAACTTAATTTCTCAAATAGGAGTGTCGTTGCTCTTTCCGGGATATGATTCATTCACTGGTATTTTGGGAAGTTTTTATTGTTTTACGCAGTAACATTTTAATAGGAGTAAATAAGTATGTTTTAGGAAGAAAACATACTTAGCTCTATTTTAGAACTTTATCCATGTTTTAGTGCTATGATGAACAATTTTTTATTGGTAAATGAGGGAGTAACACATAAAATAAGAAAAGTGGAGATATATGGTTGGTATTGAATGGGTAAAGTGTGAAAAAGTTAAGGATGAATTAGAACCGTACAAATATTACCAAATATGGTATGAGACAAATTTAGTAGGAAGGACGAAAGAGGATAGGTGGGAGAAAAATAGTTTGACAGAGAGTAACAATTTGAGATGGTAACAAAGTGGAAGCACCAAAGCATAGCTTTTAGGTATCTTTAGATTTTGGGAAATTCAAAGAAGAATGGTTTTTTTTTGTCTTTTAACTAATCTTCAATGAGATTGGATTGACATACAACAACAACATCCAAGTCTTAATCCCAAAAGAATTTGGGCTCGGCTAACATGAATCGATCTATGATATCAATGCCAAAAAGAGAAGACCGACAAGAAAAGGAAAAAAAGTAAGATAAAATGAATAAAATAAAGGTAAATAAATATAAGATAACAATAACACAAGAATATAACAAAGATAAAAGATAAAAAATAAAAAAGCATTAAAAAGCTAGAAGATAAAAATAACATAAGAATATAAAAAGATAAGGAAGATAAATGATAAAAGAAACAAGAGAGGAAAGGTAGACAATACATCAATCGTGCGTCCTTCACTTTGCTCTCTCCAAAGCCATACTCTCATCCAACCCAAGAAGATGCATACCAGTTCTGATTACTCTAATCCAAGTCTATTTGGGTCTTCCCCTCCCTCTCTTCTCTGACTCTTCTCCCCACCCCTCAAGTCGTCTAACAGGTGCATCACTCGATCTTCTATGCACATGCCCAAACCACTACAAACGAGACTACTGCATCTTATCTTCTATAGGTGCTACTCCCACCTTTTGTTTGATTACCTCATTCCTCAAGCGGTCTTTTCTGGTATGTCCACACATCCAACGCAACATACGCATCTTTGTCACACTCATCTTTTGAATGTGGCATTGCTTCACCGCGATATTCATATTTCAATTCATGTCATGTGATGTGACTAAGTGATACTGTTGGCCGTCACGCGCCAACCACAGCACCCTCCTCCTTTATCCTGGCTTGGGACAGGCATGATACCAAAAAAATGATCTCATGGCGGAGTTGATTGGATTGACATACCTCTTCTAAATGATGCATATCATTCTGAAGATTGCTACAAGCTGTAACTTGTTTGCCCTAGAACATGGTATCTTAGGGTACAGACGCAACAGTTAGTAGTGTAGCATTTGCTTAGTTGTGTAAACATTGAAGTCTTTTCACCAATATTGGTGAATGTGAGAAAGTAAATATTTGCACCAATTCTTGTGCTTAGGAATATTGTGCATACCAAAACTTTAAACAGTTATATACATTTATAACTTATTATTATTTGAAAATGGGAAGTTCCTGTATTTACCCCAAATTCCTGTTATAGACTTATAGTTTATGGATCTTGAAATTATATGATTTTGCACACGCACTTTGGTTTGCTTTCTTTCGACATGAATTGGTTCTGGTGCATGCTGCACAGAATTGAATTGCACAAAAATGATGTGGTTTTTTATATATAAATATTATGATAGTAAATTATGATTATGTGAATTAGTGAAAGTGCAAGAACAGAGCTAGAACCTCTATATTTTCAGTTTTCCTATTTGTGTCTTGAACGTAAGTCTTTCTTATGTAAACTGTTCTTGGTGCATTTTGGCACTTTTTTCCTGGATGAATTTGGGGGTCATTTATGCTTCTTGTATGCTTTTTGTGTTGGTTAGTTCGTTGATCTCTTTGCATGACATTTTAGATCAGCTATTCTGAAATTAGCTTTGCTTTCTTCGACATGAATGGGTTCTGGTACATTCAGAATACTGCATAGACAATATTGTGTACAAGAATGCTGTGAGGCTTTATATATGAGTAATTTGATAGTAAATTATGATCATGTGAATTAGTGAAAGTGCAAGAACTGAGGTAGAAATGTAGAATCTCAAATCTCAATTTCCACATTTTTAGTTTTTTTATTTGTCACTTGAAAGTTTTTGCTGGTGTGTTTGTTGATCTCCTTGTATCCTTCAATCTTTAAATCATGTATTTTGAACTTTTCTTTCCTCGGAATTGGTTCTGCTTCATATTTCATAGAAAATTGTGCACAAGAATGGTGCTATTCTGTCTATGTGAATAATATGATAGTAAATTATGATACTGTGAATTAGTAAATGTGAAAGACTGAGCTAGCATCTCTACATTTTGGGTTATCTTCTGTCATGAAAGTAGTATTCTTTTTAAGTCAATTGATATCGCGTTTTGTCTGCAGTTTTAAAAAATCTGCAGTTTTTACCTTTTTTAGCCTTGATGAGTTAGTAGGTCATCTATGTGTGTTTTCTACTTTTTTTTTGCTGGTGCGTTCGTCGATCTCTTTGTATCCTTCAATCTTTAGGTCATGTTTTTTGAACTTTGCTTTCTTCGGATTGGTTCTGCTCTATATTTCATTGAAAATTGTGCACAAGAATGATGCTATTCTGTCTATGTGAATAATATGATAGTAAATTATGATATTGTGAATTAGTAAATGTGAAAGACTGAGCTAGAATCTCCACATTTTGGGTTTTCTTCTGTGTCATGAAAGTAGTATTCTTTTTTATGTCAATTGTTCTCAACTTTTTTCTGCAAAAAATAACCGAGTGCATTTTGGCACCTTTGCTGCCTTGATGAAAAGGATGTCATTTATGCATCTTGTTTATTTTTGTGTGTGTTTTTGAGTGTTCATTAATCTCTTTGTATCTCCTTTTGTGAAATCAGGTATTTTAAACTTTAATGTTGTGTTGTATACTGCATAGAAATTTTATGCCCAAGAATAATGTGATTCTTTATATACGAGCAATATGATTATAAATTATTATTATTATTATGTGAATGAGTGAAAGTGCAAGAACTGATCTATAATTTCCACATGTTCAGTTTTTCTCTCTGTGACTCACTTACTTGGAAGTTGTCAATTTGGAAGTAGTTATTTTTTGCAAGTCTTGTTATTGAGTTTTGTCTGCAGTTATATAAAAGAATTGTTCATTAGGGCTCATTTTTTTCTCTCTACATGAATTTTGGACGATTGATGTCTTGTCTACCTTTCCTCTCTTGTTTCTTTTATCGTTTATCTTCCTTATCTTTTTATGTTCTTATGTTATTTTTATCTTCTAGCTTTTTTATGCTCTTTTATTTTTTTCTTTTAACTTTGTCATATTCTTGTGTTATTGTTATCTTATATTTATTTATCTTTATTTTATTCATTTTATCTTACTTTTTTTCCCTTTTTTTGTCCGCCTTCTCTTTTTGGCATCGATATCTTAGATCGATTCATGTTAGCCGACCCCAAATTCTTTTGGGATTAAGACTAGATGTTGTTGTTGTACATGAATTTAGTGGAGGGCATTTATGTTTCTTGTGTACTTTTTTGTGTTGGTGTGATCATTGATCTCTTTGCAGTTTTTTTAAGATCAAGTATTTGAATGTTCAGTGTTCACCAGTCATGCATGCATCCGTGACTTTGTGGTAACTGCCCCGTAATATCTTTTAAGCTTTTATTGGAACTAATATCTTTGTGCAGTTTTTTTATAGAATACGTCTAGACCCTCTTATTGATGACTGGTCCACTTGGAGTCTTCTGTTACAATATCTCTCATATTCTGATACGAGCACAGAAATTTGGAGTAGAAATATGGTTGAATGGTTGATATTACATAAAACAATAGGAATACAAGGGTGGCCAATTCGAGAGGGCCTCTAACTCTCCCAGGTCCCAATTCTTCCTAAATCCCAGCTTGGCCCTGTCCCTTTTCCATTCCTTCTATTTATTTTTTTCCAATGAAGCTTCCCCTCAATCCAACTAATTACTTGGCCCTGCCCACTTCTTTTTTACGCCTTGTTTAATTATTCAGTATTATTTCTATTAATTTGGCCCAAAAGTTCATGTCCATATCATATTATCATTCTCGTTTGAAAACAACCTTGTCCTCAAGGTAGGGAGTAAGAAATATCCATGCCATTCAGCTTCATCCTCGCGCCCCTTCCTTCCCAATACTTAAGCTCGAATACATGAAGTGACAAAACCTTCCCATTTGGATCGAGAGCTTCAGCAATGAGAAGTTCATAATGGTTGATATTGGTAGTAGCTTGCTCAAGGTTATTTGCACGAGAAGATGATGGATATGAATAATTCTCATTCTGGTCATGATTACCATTAGTCATCATCTTATTTGATTCTTAATAGCAGTCATTCTCATTTTCTGCTGGCCGTGAAAGACTTACACCATTTATCCTCTTATATGGCTTCTCTTCACTTCCAACGTTTCTATCGGGGTAAGAAACAAATCAGGGGCATAGCTCACCTGGCAAGAATAGAGTGCCACAAGGGAGAGATCCCGAGTTCAACTCCAAGCAAAGACTTGGAATGGAATCATACTAGTACTCTTTCCATTAATGTGAGTTCAACGATCAACTTACATCCTCCCAGATATATGTTCAGTCGGTTCTAGGAGGTCATCGGGGATGGGGTGTCATCTGTTTTCCAGGTAAATAACAATATCAACCTCTATTTCTTGAACTGCCTCATACTTTCCATTCACTGCAGATGAAACTCGATGCCAACTTTTATTCAAGTTCTGCTAAAAGGACAACATATTGCACTCCAGGAGATTCCATACCTAGGTGCTGAGAATCCTGAGATCCTTTTTTATTTTAAAATTCACAAGTGATCCGTCTTTATGACTAGAAACCATCTACTTTATGACTAGAAACCATGTGAATCTAGTACCCTTTCTGCACAATTGATTGTCCTATAACCTCGTTGGTCCAAACATTTATATTGGTA